ATCTGTTTGGGGTTTGGTAGCAGTGTTAAAAGTATAGTTCCCAAGCCACTCAAATTAATCACTTAAATTTCGTTGGAAATAGCCACAGCGCAATCTCACCGGCAGAACGTGTGACATCCGAAATACGGTAAGCATTCATTCTTTTCCTCGTTATTCCTGTGATGCACAATAAACTACAGGGTCGGGGAAAAGTGTTTGAACAAAATTTGTGGTTTATCCTATCCTGTCATATCTTGTCTCATCTTGTCTTATCTTCAGCGTAAATGATCTTTAAACTGCTCTATAAAAGCCCTCCAAAAATTGAGTTCATAACTTCAATCCTACCGCAATCATGCCTTCTCACCCGGAGCGTGAGCTGACTCTGAAGTGCACATGGACGGGAAGAGCCAGCAACAGATTGCTGCGAATGCTCGAAATTCCGCGAAACACAATATGGTACACTCTGAAGGCACCCAGGACCGTCCTAGATGTGGAAGGCCAGCTATTGCGAACACGTCTACGAACCAAGGTTATCCGAGAGCGCATTCGTCGGAATCCGCAAAGGAGCCTGACTGAGCTGGCATCACAGCTGATCAGTCGCAGGACCGTGTCAGACATCGTGAAAATGAACCTTGGGATGAAGGTCTACCGTATGCAGAAAACCACGCATTTAATGACGAGATGAAGCTGACTCGATGCCGTCGATTGCTTGAGCGCTTCTCCAAGACACGCCACCGGCGATGCTCTTTTCCGACGAAAAATTTTCACTGTGGAGCAAGTTTTCAACCGTCAAAACACCAGAATCATATCCAATTCGCTCAAAGAAGCCAACAGCAAAGGTCGACTCACGCAATTTGAGCTGCATCGGTTTCTGTAATGGTTTGGGCGGCAATCACTTCCGACGGCAAGATGCCGCTGATTTTTGTGCCTCAGGGCATCAAGGTGGACGCTGCACGTATTTGGATACCATACTGAAGAAGGAACTGTTAGCCTGTACCGATATCCATTTTATGGGGAGAGATTGGTGCTTCCAGCAGGGGATCTCACCTGCACACAAGGCGAAGTTTGTTCAAGCATGGCTTCAGAAAGTCAAGAACTTCATTACGCCTGCAGATTAGCCTCCGTATTCGCCGAATTTAAATCCCTTCGACTGCAGCGTCTAGCCAGTTATTTAGGCCAAAGCCTGCGCTCGCCCACGTCGCAAAGACTCCACCCTCGCTCGCCTGTGGAGTCTTTGCGACGTGCTCCTCTGAATGCGTGGGA